TTATCAGTGTCCCTTTATTAGCCTTTCCCCTGGAATGCCACAGGGATGCAGTGCTGATGGAGATGGGAGAGGGTCCCCTGGGTGGGAGAACATCACCCTTCCCTCCCACATCTGGGCATCCTTTCCCTCCACATCTGGGCATCCCTTCCCTCCCACATCTGCCTGGCTCTGGCAGCCAGGGAATGCCAAGAGGCCAGGGCAGACTGTGGGAAGGAAGTCCCAAGGTCTTCTGTCACCCTCACTGCAAGCAAAGGGTGTTGAGTGTCCCAGTGACTACAGGGTACATGGGGCTACAGCTCCCCCAGATCCCCCCCAGTCACCCACAAGAGCTGGGAATTGGGATGGCAACAGTACCCAGGGATGGCTGCAGTGTCCCAGAGGTGACTGTGCTGTCCAGGGATACCCTTGGTGGCCCAGGTCTGGCACTAGTGTCCCAAAAGTGGCCATGGTGTCCCAATGTTGGCTGTGGTGGGATTGCTGCAGGGACCCAAAGCCAACCAGATTTCCAGGGGCTGGATACTCTCAGGGGTATGTGGGTTGTCCTGGCAGCAGCCACAATGCCCAAGGGACAGCTGGGGTGTCCCAGGGTGGCTGTAGGATGTGGGAACTCCTGATGGGGAGGAACAGGAAAACCAAGGTCACAGGAACCAGATCCCCCCGCCCTGCTGAAGCACTTTGGGACAGATGCAGGCCCTGAATGTCATCCCACCCTGTGTGGCACCCACACTGTGTCCCCTGCCCCAGCCAGCTGTGTCACCCTGGCTCAGGATCTAGCAACACACCCCTGCAAGTGCTCCGTTCCCATGTGCCACCCCATGCCAACAGCTGCACTGGATGTCACCAGCCGTGCCACCAGGACCCTTCACAGATACCATGTCCCCATACACACCATGTCACCCCATACACACCATATCCCCCCATACACACCATGTCACCCCATACACACCATGTCACCCCATACACACCATGTCACCCCATACACACCATGTCACCCCATACACACCATGTCCCCCCACCCTCCCCACGTCACCCTTCACAGATACCATGTCCCCATACACACCATGTCACCCCATACACACCATATCCCCCCATACACACCATGTCCCCACACACACCATGTCCCCATACACACCATGTCACTCATACACACCATGTCACCCCATACACACCATGTCCCTCATACACACCATGTCACCCCATACACACCATGTCCCCATACACTCCATGTCCCCATACACACCGTGTCCCCATACACACCATGTCCCCATACACACCATATCACCCCATACACACCATGTTCCCATACACTCCATGTCCCCATACACACCGTGTCCCCATACACACCATGTCCCTCATACACACCATGTCCCTCATACACACCATGTCCCTCATACACACCATGTCCCTCATACACACCATGTCCCTCATACACACCATGTCCCTCATACACACCATGTCCCTCATACACACCATGTCCCTCATACACACCATGTCCCTCATACACACCATGTCCCTCATACACACCATGTCCCTCATACACACCATGTCCCTCATACACACCATGTCCCTCATACACACCATGTCCCTCATACACACCATGTCCCTCATACACACCATGTCCCTCATACACACCATGTCCCTCATACACACCATGTCCCTCATACACACCATGTCCCTCATACACACCATGTCCCTCATACACACCATGTCCCTCATACACACCATGTCCCTCATACACACCATGTCCCTCATACACACCATGTCCCTCATACACACCATGTCCCTCATACACACCATGTCCCTCATACACACCATGTCCCTCATACACACCATGTCCCTCATACACACCATGTCCCTCATACACACCATGTCCCTCATACACACCATGTCCCTCATACACACCATGTCCCTCATACACACCATGTCCCTCATACACACCATGTCCCTCATACACACCATGTCCCTCATACACACCATGTCCCTCATACACACCATGTCCCTCATACACACCATGTCCCTCATACACACCATGTCCCTCATACACACCATGTCCCTCATACACACCATGTCCCTCATACACACCATGTCCCTCATACACACCATGTCCCCATACACACCATGTCCCCTTACACTCCATGTCCCTCATACACACCATGTCACCCCATACACACTGTGTCCCCTATATGTACCATACACACACCATACCCCTCCCATACACAGAGGGGGCTTAGGGGGCTTCTGTGGGGTGGTTGCCCCACAGAGTCCCTTCCCAGGCATCCCAGGGCTGGCTGAGGATGGCCACAATGAGGGTTCACTGTCCCCTCAGCCCCACCACCCCAGGAACAGTCCTGAGGGTCAGCCCCGAGGCCAGAGGCCACCACTAGCACACTCTGGTCCTCTGCTGACACCTGTGGGCAAGGGACTGTCCTCGTGTGTCACCCTGCCCTACCTGGCAACCTGCCCCACCTAGCACTGTGTCATTCTGCCCATACATGTCACCTCATCCTCCCTACGTCATTGTGTCCCTACAGGTTACCCCACCTGACATGTCACACTGTCCTTGCCCATCACACTGTCCCTACATGTCCCTGCTGCTGACATGTGCCCTCTGTCTCTTTGCCATGTCTCTTGCCCTGCCTGCACATCCTCCTGTTCCTGTGTGTCACCCACCTGCCTGTCCCCACAGCCTGGTCCTGTGGGGGATTTGGGGCTGGACCAACCACAGCCAGGGTTTGCCAGGGAAGGAGGGCTATGGTGCCCCTGAACTCATCCCTGGTGACACAGGGACAGTGTCACAGGCAGAGCCATGCAGCACCTGGGTCCCTGTCCATGGCACAGGGCCTTGGTGTGGAGCCAGGATGTGGGGCCGCAGTGGGGACAGCAGCATCAGGTCTGTGCTGTGCCATGGGGGCTGTCCCCACCCCATGGCTGTGCCCCTGGCAGGGCCCAGCAGCAGCACCCTGGGGATGGAGCCTTCCCTGGGAAAGGGCAGGCAAGGAAAGATGGCCCAGCAGTGCCCCCTCCACAGCCCCCATTGTCCCCCAGCCCATTCTCTGCCTCCTCCATGTTCCCATCAGTCCCTTCATCCCTCTCCATAACACCCTCCATGCCCTCCATTGTCCCTCCATCCCTCCACCCCTCGACTCCACCCCCCATTTCCCCTTCCATCCCTCCTCCATCCTGCTCTATTGCCCCCTCCATTTGTCACCCTCCTCATCACCTCCATCCATCCATCCCCCTGCATCATCCCTGTCATCCTCCCTCCACCCCCACTCCATCCTCCTTCCATCACTGCTGCATTCCCCCTCCCACCCTGCCTCCCCTGAAGCTTCCATCCCCTCCATCCCCCTCCATCCCCCTTCACCCCTCCCCATCATCCTCTCCATCCTGCACTTGCCCCCTCCATTGTTCCTCCATCCCAATTCCATCTCCCCTCCATCCCTGCTGCATCTCCCTCCCACTTTCCTCCCTCACACCCTCCTTTGTCCCCTGGTCCCCCTCCATGGCTGGGGCTGTGCCTTTGGGGAGGGGACTGTCCCCGCCTGGAAGCTCCTCCTGGAGCAGGAGAACTCAGACAGCGCCAGGCAGGCCTGTGTAAGGCAGCAAATACACTAATTAATTAATTATGGGATAATCTCTGGTTCTGGGGAAGGAACGGGTGGCTGCTCAGACTCGATTAACCACAAGAATGTTTAATCTCCCCCCGCAGCCCCATAAGGCACCGGGATTATTCCCACTGGGATGCACCAGCCATGCCTGGCTGCAAGGGGACACAGAGCCTGGGACAGCCCAGGGACCCCCAAACTCCACAGGGTGACCCTGCCCCAGCCCCATGGGGATGGGATGGGATGGGATGGGATGGGATGGGATGGGATGGGATGGGAGGGTTATCCCTGTGCTGGCTGCCAGGTCTGAGGAAACAGCTCTGTCCCTGTCAGAGTGCTGGGACTGGGCATCCCCTGCTTCTCCTGCCTCTGTCCTGCATCCCAATCACACATCCCTGATCTCCCCTCATGGACCCTGCACCCTGCTTCCCACATCCCAGTCCTGCATCCTGTATCCCACATCCTGCATTTCACAAAAGTACACGGACACAAATCCTTCATCCTGCATTCTGCAACCCACATCCTGTATCCCACATCCCAGACCTGCATCCTTCATCCCCAATCCTTCATCTGGAATCCTATCCCATTCATCCTCAATCTGAAATCCTTCATCCTGCATTCCACTCTTGCATTCCAATGCAGCATCCCAGCCCAGAATCTCAGTCCTGCATTGTATCCCACATCCCAGACCTGCATCCTTCATCCCCAATCCTTCATCTGGAATCCTTCATCCTGCATTCCACTCCTGCATTCCAATGCAGCATCCCAGCCCAGAATCTCAGTCCTGCATTCCAGTGCAGCATCCCAGCACTGGACCCCAGCACTGCATCCTTCATCCCACATCCCAGTCCTGCATGCCAGTGCAGCATCCACTCCTACATTCCAATCCTTTGTCCTACATCCCAGTCCTGTATCCTTCATCCCACATCCCAGTCCTGCATGCCAGTGCAGCGTCCACTCCTACATTCCAATCCTTTGTCCTACATCCCAATCCTGTATCCTTCATCCCACATCCCAGTCCTTCATCCTGCATGCCATTCCTGCATTTGTGATCCCATATCCCAATCCTGCATTCTGTATCCTGCATCCCAGCCCTGCCCGGCACACCCGTCTCCTTCATCCCACATCCCAATCGCGCATTCCAGCGCCGCATCCTCCATCCCACATCCCAACCCCACACGCCGGTTCTGCATTCCAACGCAGCATCCCAGCCCTGCATCCTTCATTCCACACCCCTCATCCCGCATCCCGATCCCGGCAGCGGCACAAAGGCCGCACTACAGCTCCCGGCGTGCCCGGGGCGCGGGGGAGAGCCCTGCGGCGCTCCCGCCAGCGGCTGCGGGAGCGCGCTCGGGGGGCGCGGGCGCGGGCGGGAGCGCGCACCAATCGCGGCGCGGCCGCGCCCCAGCCCCGCTGCGCCGCCGGCCCCGCCCGCCGCCGCCGCCATGGCCGGTAAGCCCCGCAGCGGCTGCGAGGCGCTCCGGGTGGTGGCCCGGTGCCGGCCCATGAGCCGGCGGGAGGAGGCGGCGGGATACGAGCGCGTCCTGGAGCTGGACGTGAAGCTGGGCCAGGTGAGCATCCGCAACCCCCGCGCCGCCCCCGGGGAGCTGCCCAAGACCTTCACCTTCGACGCCGTGTACGACGCCAGCTCCAAGCAGGCCGACCTCTACGATGAGACGGTGCGGCCGCTCATCGACTCGGTGCTGCAGGGCTTCAACGGCACCGTCTTCGCCTATGGCCAGACCGGCACCGGCAAGACCTACACCATGCAGGGCGCCTGGGCGGAGCCCGAGAAGCGCGGCATCATCCCCAGCGCCTTCGAGCACATCTTCACCCACATCTCCCGCTCGCAGAACCAGCAGTACCTGGTGAGGGCCTCGTACCTGGAGATCTACCAGGAGGAGATCAGGGACCTCCTCGCCAAGGACCAGAGCAAGAAGCTGGAGCTGAAGGAGAACCCCGAGACCGGGGTGTACATCAAGGACCTGTCGTCCTTCGTGACCAAGAACGTCAAGGAGATCGAGCACGTGATGAACCTGGGCAGCCAGACGCGCTCCGTGGGCAGCACCAACATGAACGAGCACAGCTCGCGCTCCCACGCCATCTTCCTCATCACCATCGAGTGCAGCGAGACGGGGCCGGACGGCGAGGAGCACATCCGCGTGGGCAAGCTCAACCTCGTGGACCTGGCCGGCAGCGAGCGCCAGAACAAAATGGGGGCCCAGGGAGAGCGCCCCAAGGAAGCCTCCAAGATCAACCTCTCCCTCTCGGCCCTGGGCAACGTCATCTCGGCGCTGGTGGACGGCCGGAGCACGCACATCCCCTACCGGGACTCCAAGCTCACCCGCCTGCTGCAGGACTCCCTCGGGGGCAACGCCAAGACAATCATGGTGGCCACCTTGGGCCCGGCCTCCCACAGCTACGACGAGAGCCTCTCCACCCTCAGGTTCGCCAACAGGGCCAAGAACATCAAGAACAAGCCCCGGGTGAACGAGGACCCCAAGGACACCTTGCTGCGGGAGTTTCAGGAGGAGATCGTCCGGCTGAAAGCCCAGCTGGAGAAACGCGGGATGCTGGGCAAGAAGAGGAGGAGGAGCAGCCGGAGGAAGAAGGCAATGGATGGAGAGGGCACCGTGGACAATGAAGGGGAGGACGAGAATGAGGATGGCCTGGAGAAGACCATGGAGAATTACTTGAAGGAGCAGAAGGAGAGGCTGGAAGAGGAGAAAGCCGCTATCCAGGATGACCACAGCCTGGTGAGTGAGGAGAAGCAGAAGCTGCTCCAGGAGAAGGAGAAGATGATAGAGGACCTGCGGAAGGAGCAGGAGGCCACGGAGCTGCTGGCCATCAAGTACAAGGTTCGTGTTGCCACGCCTGGTGACAAATGGGGCCGGGGTGCCTGCTGTGCCCCCGGCCCCTGGTGTGGAGTGGGAATGGATCCCGAGCAGGGAGCCTGGGGGAGGTGCCCACCACGATGCCCAGCAAGGGGACCTCCCAAGCAGGGTCCCCAAGGGCAGCCCCAGACTCTGGCATGGGGCTGGGTTGGGGTGGCCCTCGGACCTGCGTGGGGACACTGTGGGGACCTGTGTGGGAGCTGCAGGGGGTGGGAGGGAAGGGCCACGGGGGAGAGGGTCGCTGGTGGCACGAGCGTGCTGTGCTCAGCTCTTGTCCCCTTCAGCACAACAAAGCTGTGTGGGAAGGAGGAGTGACGAGAGTGATGCTGCAGATTCGTCCCTGGTGGCCTCGGGAGTGAGCCCAGGGCTGGGGACACGGGCACCTGCCCCCGGTTCTGTCCAGCCCCTGGCTCCCAGTGGGCTCTGTGGGGATGGGCAGGGCCTGGCAGCTGGGCAGGGACCCCCATCCCCCTCCCCACCCCAAATCCTTCCTGGCATCCCAAGCCAGAGCAGGGTGGATGGGGGCACCACTGCTGGCTCAGGGGTGCTCAGGGGTTTGGTGCTTGTTTGAGGGTGAGAGGGGCCACAGCAGCCCCAGCTGTGCCAGGGTCTGGGGCTGCACCTCCCCCTGCCCCAGCCCTGCTCCTGTCCCCACTGAGCTGGGGGGTCCTGACCCCTCCCGTGGTGGCCGTGGGGCCGGGACCACAGTCCCAGCAGTGGGGAGGGAGCACCCTGACCCTGGGCATCGCACTCAGCATGGCCCCTCTGGCACTGCCCCTCTGGCACCACGCTGGCCCCGATGCAGGGACTGGGCTGGAGCCCAGGCAGGCAGGAACTCCTCTGGGGGGGTTCATGCCCGGGGTGCCAGAGCTGGGCAGGGGTCCGGACCCTCTTCCATGGCCAGGGTGGTGTTTGTTGCAGCCCCAGGGACGCGTGGCCGTGCCCAGGGATGTGTGATTGTGCCCAGGGACGGAGAGCGTGGGATCGCACTGGGACGTGCCACTGGGGCAGAGCCGTGGGCTGCTGGCTGGCACAGCGGGTGTCCCGTGATGGCTGTCCCGTGGCAGAGCAGGATGCCTGGCACAGGGGTCTCTGCAGCCATCCCCCCGTCACAGCGGGGTGCAGGTTCTGGGGTGCAGGCTGGGCTGGGCTGGCTGCTGTCCAGTGTCCCTGTCTGGCTCAGCAGGGCTGGCTCAGGGCCACGGTGTGTCCTGGAACTGCTGAGTAACAAGGCAGGGCCGGAGGCAGGGTGACACCATGTCCCTTTTGGTGGCCTTTGGGGCCGCTCCACGCACAGGGACCCTCTGGCTCTGGGGGTACAGCACAGTGACAGCAGAGAGGTGTCACCTCGGCGGGCACAAATCCTCCTGTGCCAGAGGGGCACAGCCTGCTGTGACACTCACCCTGGTGGGTGCTGCCCGTGGGACACTGTGGGTGACACTGGGTGGTCTCAGGGTGCTCATGGGCAGCTTTGCCACACGGTGGGGCCAGGCAAGGAGCCACTGGCTCCATAGTGACCACGGCAAAGGCAGGTGAGGTGACAGAGGGGGACACGAGGTGCCCCCTTACACCCACGGGTGACACACTGCACCCTGTCTTATTGTCACACCCGTGGGTGTGGGCTCTGCCTCTGCCACCCAGCTGGGACATGTGGGACATGGAGCTCAGAGAGGTGGGGTCAGCCTGCCCCTGCAGATGTGCGTTGGGCACCCAGATGTGCTCCTGGGTGCCCAGATGTGTGCCCAGGCAGAGGGGCTGTGCCCCAGGGGAGCTGGCTACGGGGTGTGGGTGCCTCCAAGGGCTGTGCCAGGGGCTGAGGCCGAGGTCAGCGGGAGGGAAAATGCTGGGAGGTTCTTTGGGTGCAGGAAATTGAGTTCCTGGGAGAGGCTTAGTGCTAAAGGAGATTGGGAGCCTCTTCCTTAGAGGGAATAAATGCCCTGGCAGGGAGGAAACAGCAGCACTGAGAAACCTCTTCATCTGGTGGGGATGGTGTGTGCAGGGGGGAGCTCTGTGGGAAGGGATGGCAGTGGGGCCATCATCCCTTGACCCTCCTGGTCCCCTCCCTGCACCCCAGCAGGGTCCCCAGGGGACACTCAGTGTCAAGGAAAGCAGGAGCAACCAAGAACTGTGTTTGGAGGAGAAGGGGTGAGGGGCCCCTGGCACCCCAGTGCCCCCAGCCCTGGCAGGGGATGGCACAAGATGGGGTAGGGGGCTGCCCTTGGGGGTGTCAGCCCCCAGCAGAACACCCAGCCTGGGACACCCATTGGAAGGGAGGAAGGAGGGATCCCCAGGGTCAGGGGGGCTGGCTGGGGCACCCATGGGGGGCTGTGTCCCCACAGCACTGAACGGCTGCGGGGGTCTCACTGGGTGGGAAAGGGAGGAAGGCACAGCTGGGGGGTGTCCCCTGGGTGCTGGGGGCTGCTGGCACAGCTGGGGGGTGTCCCCTGGGTTCCCCCAGAACCCACAATGCACCCCCTGCAGCTGGAAGGGGAAAAATGGGGGGAAAACCATTTAGAGCCTTGCACCAGGCAGGTGTCGTGAGGATGGGGGCCACAGGTTTGCCAGAGCCCCCCACTCTGTGCACAGCACCCCCAGGGAGACCCCTGCCCCAGGGACACGTGACAGCAGCCCCGTGACCACCACGTGCCCTTGCCAGTGCTGGCACCACCCTTGGGGTGGCCTGGTGGCCCCCCTGCCCTCAGGGCTGTGGCCATGGCAGTGGGGAGGGGGCCAGGCCCTGTGAGGAGCAGGACCCCCGGATTTGGGGGGCCAGAGGGACCCCAGGGCAGGTGCCCGGTGGGTGAGGGTGGCCACGTGCTGGTGGCAGAGGGGACATTACAGAGATGGTGGCAGAGCTGTCTCTGTGGCTGGGACATTGGTTTTTGCAGCTGTGTGTGGTGTCCTGGGGACATCTGTGTCCGTCCCTGCTGCTGCCCCTGAGGTGCAGCCGTGGGGGGCACAGGGTGTCCCCTGTCCCCATTTGTCCCTGAGGGACACCCTGACACGGGAGCAGGGCTGCAGGGCATGAATACACACACGTGGTGTGCACAGGGACACACAGAGCGTGCACACACACACACACACACACACACAGAGTGTGCACGCACACACACAGAGCGTGCACACACACAGCGTGCACACACACACAGCGTGCACGCACACACACAGTGTGCACACAGTGCACACACACATACACACACAGTGTGCACACAGACACACACGCACACAGTGTGCACATGGACACAGTGCACACAGATACACACAGTGTGCACACAGATACACAGTGTGCGCACACACACACACACACAGTGTGCACACAGACACACACGCACACAGTGTGCACATGGACACAGTGCACACAGATACACACAGTGTGCACACAGATACACAGAGTGTGCACACACACACAGAGTGTGCACACACACACACACACACAGAGTGTGCACACACACACACACACACAGAGTGTGCACACACACACACACACAGAGTGTGCACATGGACACAGTGCACACAGATACACACAGTGTGCACACAGATACACAGAGTGTGCACACACACACAGAGTGTGCACACACACACACACACACAGAGTGTGCACACACACACACACACACAGAGTGTGCACACACACACACACACACACACACACAGAGTGTGCACACACACACACACACACACACACACAGAGTGTGCACACACACACACACACAGAGTGTGCACATGGACACAGTGCACACAGATACACAGAGTGTGCACACAGATACACAGTGTGCACACACACACAGTGTGCACATGGACACACACAGAGTGCGCACACACACACACACACAGAGCGTGCACACACACACACACACAGAGTGCACACACACACAGTGTTTGCACACAGACACACACACGGTGTGCATAGACACAGTGCACACAAACACACACACACAGAGTGCGCACACACACACACACACACAGTGTGCACAGACACAGGGCACACAAACACACACACACAGAGTGCGCACACACACACACACACACAGTGTGCACAGACACAGGGCACACAAACACACACACACAGAGTGCGCACACACACACACACACACAGTGTGCACAGACACAGGGCACACAAACACACACACACAGAGTGCGCACACACACACACACACACAGTGTGCACAGACACAGGGCACACAAACACACACACACAGAGTGCGCACACACACACACACACACAGTGTGCACAGACACAGGGCACACAAACACACACACACAGAGTGCGCACACACACACACACACACAGTGTGCACACAGATACACAGAGTGTGCACACACACACACACAGAGTGAGCACACACACACACATAGTGTGCACACAGTGTGCACACAGACACACAGAGTGTGCACACACACACAGTGTGCACACAGACACAGTGTGCACACACAGACACACACACATACACACAATGTGCACGTACTCACAGAGTGTGCACACAGACACACACACATAGAGTGTGAACATGCACACACATACTGTGTACACATAGACACACACACAGCGTGCACACACAAACACAAATACACATGGTGTGCAAGTACACACACAGTGCATATACACACAGACACACAGAGTGTGCACACAGACACACACAGAGCACTCACACACAGACACAGCGTGCACATAAACACATACACACACACAGTGTGCACGTAAACACACACGGTGTGCACACACACACACTGTGCATATACACACAGACACACACAGTGCACACACACACAGTGTGCACACACACACTGTGCATATACACACAGACACACACAGTGCACACACACACACAGACACACAGTGTGCACACAGACACACACAGAGCACTCACACACAGACACAGCGTGCACATAAACACATACACACACACAGTGTGCACGTAAACACACACGGTGTGCACACACACACACTGTGCATATACACACAGACACACACAGTGCACACACACACAGACAAACAGTGTGCACACAGACACACACAGAGCACTCACACACAGACACAGCGTGCACACACACATACACACACAATGTGCACACACAGACACACACACAGCGTGCAAGTTCACACACAGTGGGCACATAGACACACACAGAATGTGCACACAGACAGTGTGCACATAAGACACACACAGACATGTACAGAATGTGCACATACACACACAGAATGTGTGCACATGCACATACAGTGTGCACACACACACAGAGTGTGCACAAATACACACACAGTGTGCAAATACAGAGTGCACACACACAGACAGTGTGCACATGCACACAC